TTCATCATCAATCACTCATATTAAAACTATTATAATATAATAGTCATACAACGAAGGTATTATTTTCCTTAAATTATTACCCTTAATGGTCATGCAAGGCAAAAGAGTAAAAAAAAAAAGAACGTATGAATTTTTTAATTTAATAACTTATTTAAAGAGGAAAAAGTAAGTTTGATTCACTTAATTCTTTATCTCATTTTATCTTATAGTTCTATTAATTACATGTAGTATAGTCACCTATAATGCAATTAATTACGATATGTTAAGAGTGATCAATTCCAAATATACATATACTAGGGTGCAAACCAAACATTGAAAGGAAACCACTATTATCATAAACAAAACAATCACATAAAGCATTCAAAAGATTTACCATAACTCTAGTTATGAATTTAGTTACTCATAATGAAATAAGAAGGCAAAACAATTATAAGGAAATTCATATTCATTTGAAAAGTAATGCAAACTAATGGAATCTCAAAGAGAAAGAGATGAGAATAATTTCTGTCTCTAAAAAATGCTCTGGATTATTTGTTTAGACTTCAAAATATATCTTACGTTTTCACCAATGATCTTCACTCCCAAATGACTTTATAAGTCAGTTAGGCTAAAAGTGTTTCTCACAAGCGCTAACTGTTTCTTAAATAAGGTTCCTAAAATCTTAAATCATCTTTAAATTTAAATCACCATGCAAGCAGCATGGTCATGCATACCATTAAACATGACTGTACTTAGCCACGAATATAGATGGAAATAGGTTAGATTGTCTGATAAGGGCTTACGACGTAACTTTTTTAAAGCCTAGTTCAACTTAACCTATTTAAGTAATATGCTTGATTTAAACTTTTTAAAAAGCTTTATTAATTAAAAAGGTCAAACTTGAGCTTCAGAAAAAGTCTATTAGGCTTATTAGAATGACTTATGTAAAACTTATAAAATTTATAATAATATATTAAATAATTTTATATAAAATTATAATACAATATTATATCAAATAAATTAAATTTTAAAATAAATAAAATCTTAAATTAGAAACTTAATTTTTTTGTTAGAGTTGATTAGTGTCTCTATTACATACTTTCTAAAGGAGAAAGACCTATTTGCTGAAGTTTTTTGCGTTACTATTATTTGATCTATCTAATACATACAACGTTAATTTGCATTTATACTATCTTGATTATAGGGATGACAATGGGTAAAACGCCCGATGGGCACCCGCAAAATTTACCCACAATGGGTAGAGTATTTACCCGCTATATAGGTATGGGTATAGGTGTGGGTAAAAACTCACAAATTTTAATGGGGATACATATATATATATATATATATATATATATATATATATATATATATATATATGCTTGAACTTTATTCTACAATTATACATTGAATTTTTGTATTATTATATTACTTATATGAAGTTATATAAGATTAATATAAAAATATATTTAATAATAAAGTAAACTAAAAATATTATTTTGGTTTATATTTTTAATAGAAAAATTTATTTACTATTTTATATCATTTAATTAGGCTAATATAATTTAATTATTACATAATTAATATGAGATTGACTTTTTTTAAAATATTATTTATATATGACACACATAAAATATTTTTCACACAAATATTTTTGTTAATAAAATCATATTGATGTTTAAATAATAAAGTGAATGATAAAAATAAATATATTATAAATATTTTATAAATTTTACAATCACCTACTATTACCGTAAACTTGTTATTTATTAATAATATTTAAATTTTATTTTTTATATTTTAATTTAAAATAATATTTTTCTATGTAACATATGTATTACAAGCACAACTATAATCTATTGAATCTAAATAATATTATTCTTATCATTTATTCACGTTCAAAGAAGTTCTTGAAAAGATATAAATATAAAAAATTATTGGTAATTTTTATTTGTTAATTTTTACTGATAAAAAAATATAATTTTTTTAATATACACGTATATTTCTTTATTAAAAAATTTTATTGTGACCATTTATCTTTTTTTTCAAATTCTTTCTTTTAAAATTTATATACATTATAAATATTTAATTCATTAAAATAATTTTTCAAAAATTTGTATTTTTAATAAAATACTTTCATATAGTATATAAGTTAAAAATACTAGTGTTAATATATATATATATATATATATATATAAATTATATTATTTTAATTAAATTTATTATTTTTCTTACAATTTTAAATTCAAAAGTTAAAAAATATTTTGTGTATTCACTTTCTGTTGTTAGTATTGAACTTCTCTACTCTAATTCTATTCTCATTCTCAAATGTCTGTCTCATTAAAACCTAATAACTATGAAACATTATTCATTAGAGTTAGTTGTCAATGTCGTATAAGAGGTCACCAAGTGATCTCACACGAAGGGACAACCATTATGCAGATCTATTTCGTTGTCACTTTGACATTGCCAATCGATCAAATCTCATACAAGATAGGGTTATCACTGACAAATAACTTGTGTGTTTAGTTTCGCTTATTGTTTCTAAGAATTTTAGTTTAGAAAATTATTATATTAAGATACATTTAGCATTTATGATCTTTGAATATTTGTTTTTTATCTAAGTTTGTACCTTGTTCGGCAACTACATATTGAATTTTTGTATTATTATACTACTTATGTGAAGTTATATAAACATTTTTTTTATAAATATTTTTTCTCAAACAAGTGCAGGTAATAGGTACAAGATGGGTATGCGGGTACCCAGAGGGTACGGGTACGATGATTAATATTCATACCCACGCGGGTATGGGGTTGAGTACGGGTATTTTTTTAAAACGCAGGTATAGGGATTGGTACTATAATACCCTACCCATTGTCATCCCTACTTGATTATGTTTATCGCTGGTTCGTGTTATTCATTATTTTCTTATATACTTGTTTAAATTATATGTAACTTTTTTTTTACTATTTTTTCTCTTTTTCTTCTTTATTTTTAGGTTAACAAAATGTTTTCTTCTATTGAGAGCAATAAAATAATTTTTTTTATTTGAAAGTCTTAATATGAAGTAAACTGTTAAAAAGATTAATAAGTCAAAATAGACTCTTAAAATAGTCAGACTAGACTTAATAAAATGTCTATGATAAGTAATAAACTAAACTTAAGTTTTAAAATTATTAAATAGGTTATATTTATTTATATAAAGGCCTAATCTAGCCTATTTCTATCCCTAGTCTTAAAGCACTCCTAAACTAGTTTTTAAGCAAGGTCATGTTTCATGCTAAAGTGACCTTGTTTTTCATCAAATTTTCTCCTATTATAACAAAAATACTCCATCAATTTATGATATTACCATGTTAAATTGCAGCAATTTATAGAAAAATGAATGTTAAATCCCTATCAAATAAGAGTTAAGTATAAAAAAAATATAAAAATACACTAAAATATAAACTTATCTGCGATAAATTTTAATGAACCAAATAAAAAAAATGCTTAGAATCTAATTTGAACAAAAAATTGTGCTTAAAACATTTTTTTTTTTCATTTTTACAAACTTAATGTACATGAGAATTTTTTTTATTTTTTATTGTCTATGTTGTTAAAAATATTTATGTAATATAAAAACATAAAAATTAATTAAAGATATAATAAAAATTTTAATTATTTGATTTAATAATTATTTTTAATATAATTTTTTTTCATACATACAGATAATTTTTTTTATGCTGGATGAAAAGCAAAAGTTACTAGTTTATATGAATAAAATAAATATAGATTATCTATTTGTGTTCTTTGAATGCGACTCTCTTTTTAACTTTAGAACGACATTGTATTCCTAAAAATTTAATGGAAAAAAAAGATATAATTTTAAATATAAATAATTCATTTTTACTATATTTTATCTTGATGAATAAAAATATACACATTCTTTCATGTATGAGAAGATGTACGAAAATATCATTATCCCATCACTTTAAGGAATACTTTTCTTAACGATGCTCATATCCAAAATTATTGTCAATGATCACATGAGATTCTTAACATTAAAGAAGTCAGTTATTTCAACATTAAAGGAGTCATTTGACTATGGTACTATCAAGCCTTGTCCTAAACATAAACAACGATGTCAATGGAAACAAACCTTTTTATTTTTTATTTTTTTTCTGAAATATGATAAAATTAAAAATAAATTATCAAAATAGAATTTTGGTTAAATATTTTTTCTGTACTGATGTTTGCTACATTTGAATATCGTCTATTACATATCTGACATTTATTTTTTATTATTAAAAAAATAAACTCAAAACCCTTCAGCACATGAACTCTCTCTCACAGTGCAGTTTTGTTTCGTTTTTCTAAATTTAAACACAACTTTAAAGATATGGCAGAAGTGGGTGAAGTTAAATATTTTACTTCAGATCATACACATTAATTGATCCACAAAGTTAAAGGCCATAGTTTTTTTGCATCTGTTTCTTACCCTTCCATATTCTTAATTCCAACATCTGAAATTTTATTTATTAAACTGATATCAACCATATTCAACTGAAAAGCATGAAAATAAAAAATAATATTAAACTTTAATTAATTTAATTTAGAATGTGACTATCATTTTATTAAAAAATGAATCATTTTTACCGTTATTCAAAAATACAGTTTAATTATTTTGTTAACATGTAAATATTTAAATTATTTCAATATTTATCATTTCTCTCTGTCCTGTCGCTACGCCCCTCAAAGTCTCGACGATTGGTCAAGGATATGAAATGATTATCATCATTTTTAAGGATTTATTTATCAACAATTGGCACTTCCCCCTTCGAAGAAGAGGAAAGAAAAATAACATTCTTGGAAGATCGCATCGATGGATCCTTAGCTTACAAAATGCTAACTGATAGCATTTTGCAAGGCATCTTATTTCTAAGAAGAACTGATAAAAAAACTCTTCAAACACAAATGCAACAGTTCAGAGTAAAAGTGAATTCATAATGTGTCAAAGCAAATCCAACACGTTACCAACTTAGGGCAAGGGATTGGACGCTGAAACTGCATTCATGAACTCCTCGTCTGATTCCAGGGCACTCATGTTTTCTGGGAAAAGGGACACTTCGAAATCTACGCTTCCCCCTCCTTCACGACCTGGGTATGCTAACACATGCCCATCAAATTTGATGGCATGCCCATTTCTAACGGCCACCACTTTCCCAATTCCAAATTCAATTTCATACGCATTGAACCTGGTCGAGCCACCCATGGTCACACTAGAGGTGTAAACTGACCAACTAAGTTGATATATCATAGGACGCTGCAACCACTGTTTGAGGTGTTGCTGCACAACTGTGTTGTTATAGTTTGCAACAGCCAAGTGCAATTTCCATGCTGCCCAACCCAGATTATTCTCAAGCAATTCCCCTGCTGTCGCTCCTACACCCACCCCATGAAATGCGTTTCCAAAGTATTCCGGAGACAGTGGTGGTTCCATTCTTGTTCGATTGGTTATAGCCAAGTTGAAAGATGTTGTCTTGTCATGCGGTATTCGGCGCGCACGAGTTATGGATCTCCAAATAAGTGCTGATAATGACTGGAATGAAGAGATTGTGCTGGTATTGGACTCTGCGTTCGCCTTTGCTTTCAGTTTCGCAATTGACTCTGCTGAAAAGTGGAATATTCTCTCTCTCACCAAGAGTGGTTCTTCTCTTCTAATAAACTCTTGGTGATGTTTGAAGGGAAGATTGATTAATGGATCACAACCCTCTGGAAACCAGCGTTTGAGAACGGGTTGGTGTGAAATTGGAATGTCATATTCATGCCCTTGAGCTTGAGCTTTAAAGATCTCAGACCAAGTATTCATGAAATTCCAAAAGGAAGGGCCATCGGCAACAGCATGGTTCATGGAACAACCTATGAAAACACCGTCCACGAGTTCAGTGACTTGGACGGACAACAAGGGAATGGTGTGACCATCATGGTTAAGTGCTTTTTGGTGATCAAATAATGATTGGACAATGGGTGGAACATCAACGGGGGAGAGGATATCAGATATGGTCATATCTAAAGTTGCATAGATGAATTTGGCTCCATCGCTGTTGGTACAATCAATGAAGATGGAATAAGAGGGAGGGTCTTGGGTTTTTCGGGTGACAAGGTGTCCAACCAAAGGATAGAAATGGAAGAGGGTCTGAGAAAGTGAGTGTTTGAGTTTATCCAACAGATTTTGGATAATAAAATCTTGGTTATCATCAACTGATGCGGTTTTCTTGAACAGCAACCCCCTCTGGATATATTGCATAGACAACATGGCAAGATCCCAGGGTGTTAAGTAGCATGTTTCATCTGAATCTTTGGTGGGCTTCTGCGGCTTGATGAAGCACTCGGAAACACGTTGAACGGCAGAGGTACTCATCTTCCAAATACTCACACAAACACACCTCAATTTTGTTTTCGGACATGGTCATTGTTACTCTGTTTATATAAATAAATAATAATTTTTAATACATGTGCTGTCACATAAATAAAAAATATTTAAAATTTTAGTGCATAATTTTTTATTGTGTATCGGTTTACACGTTAAATCATAGTTTTATCACCCTTAGTTTTGTAGTTAATTTCAAGTATTTAAATGCTTTTTAACTAAAATATTTATTATAATAAAAATTACAAAGATATGAAATTTTTAAATAAAATTTTATTATTATTAGTTATGTAACGCTCCGAGTTTTGTATTATTAATTAATCGTGTATTTATATATATATATATATATTGATATTTTTATTTTGTGGTGTGTTGATTGATTTTGATGGTAATATGGATGTAAGGATGTGCCTTAGTTTAATAGGAATGTGTGTGTGAATGCAGATATATGTAAATGTATGTAGATGCATGTGTGTGATTGGAATTTGGAATGGAAGATATAGGTTAAGTCCTGGTGCAGGGCATTCTCGCTGTAGCGAGAGGTCCCTGGAAGGAAGGCATGTAATTGTTGCCTTCTCGCTGTAGCGAGAAACGTCTCGCTGTAGCGACAGTTTAAGGTGCATTTTTGGGTGCAGTCTCACTGTAGCGAGATTCTGCAGAAACCAAAGTGCAATTTTCTCTGTTTTTTTTTGTGTTGTAGCGAGAGGGCGTGTCGTTGTAGCGAGAGTAACGCGACTAGAGGGGTATTTGAAGGGTTAGGGTTTGAGGAGAGGGTTATTTTTCATGATTTCTCTCTCTCTCCTTCACGATTCTCTCCACCCAGCCTATTCCGACCGTTTGGGACCCCTCCAAGACCGATTGGAAGCTAGATTGAGGATTGGGGAAGTGTTTGGAGCTCTTGGAGGTAAGTTCTATGGTTAGGGTTTCAGTTTTTGTCCCTCTCCTTCATTTTCTGAGGTTTCCCTAAGTTTCCTTGGGATTTTTGTGTGCTTTAGGGACGAAATCCGTGTGGGGAGGCGATTCCATCAACGTTTCGTGTCGGGTCTTCTTTTTTGAGGTAAGGGAGTACTTTACTCTAGTTATCTTTGTTAGGAATGAGTTTATTTGAATGAATATAGTAATGTGATAGAAATAGGAGATGAGGTTATGTGTATTGATGAATTGTATGAATTAGGTTTAGTCTGGAGGAGGCCGACCTCCGACATATTATATGAAATTGAGTGATGTGCTTGTGTTGGTTGCCATTGGATGCAAGGAAATGATGTGTGTATGATAGAAATGTGATTGTGAATAAGTTTAGCATGATGTATGACGATTGTGATGAAATGGTTGGTTGTAATATGAATGAAATTGCGTCGACATGCCCTTGATTGCAATTTGAATAATGTGAATGGTTGAAAATGAGTGTGGATGGCATGTTGAATGAATGATGATGTGTTTGGGTGTTGGAACTATGAATGGTTCAGAGATACACTAGGGGTGTGAAAGATGGGGGGCGGTAGTAATACCTTGGGGAAGAGAGGGTGGTGGTGACACCAACAGTGAGCGTGGGTGCACCACAGGCCACACACTCTCCTCCTGACTCGGCCTCTGACTGACACCTTTGCCTGGGGGGCTCAAGACCGAACATGTTATATCTATGGAGCGGGAGCTATTCGGGCGACTATCTATAGCATAACTGAGTAAGTCCCTGAGGTTGAGAGCATCAGGAATCTGTGATCACAGTGCCACAGGAAGCGTGACTACGTGCAGTGAGCGAACGTGTATTTATGTAAATGCATGTATTTGTAATTGGTTGTCGGTGCAGTGAGCGCACCTGCCTGTGATATCTGTGTGTGTCTTGAGTGAGATAGTTCAGGTGAATTTTATGCTTAATTGTGTGCTTATGCTAGAGTAGAGGACTCACCCTTATGCTTATTTCTCAGGTAACCAAGACGATCAGCACCGGGCCCCTTGAAGGAAGGATGACATTGCTATAGGACTTAGAAGTTTATTTTGAAATTGATGTATATTTTAGTCCAGTAGCAAGTTATGATACAAATTTGTAATCCTTCCTTATTAGGAACCATTTTATGAAATTGTGTTTCGAACTGCTATTTGAATGGAAACATTTGTTTTGTAAGGTTTTTACGAACTGTTTAATTAGAAAATTAACATATAAGGTGTTACAATTTGGTATCAGAGCAGTTTATCCAACCGGACTGCGGTAACAAGCTGAAGCGTCTAAGATAAGTGTTGATTGTTTTGATTACCTGATTAATAAATGTTGTAATTGATCTGATATGTTGGAATGTGTTTGTTGATTGTGAATAGCTAGAAAGAGCATGGCTAGTTGAGGTTGAGGTAGAGGTAGCGGTAGAGGAGCTCGGGATACCGAGGATCCTATGGAACGCATAGTTCAAATGCTGGAGGCCTTGATGCACAACCAAGGTGGAGAACCAGCAGAGTACAGAGGGTTGTCTGCCTTCACTAGGCATGACCCTTCAAAGTTTAAAGGAGGGTTTAATCCTGAAGGAGCCCAGAGGTGGGTGGCTGAAGTGGAGAAAGTATTCAATGCTATGGGGTGCCGTGGGAGCACAAGGTCCCTTATGCCACCTACTTGCTGTGTGGGGAGGCTGAAGATTGGTGGAGATTTGCTAGCCAGTCCTTGCCACAAGAAGATGGCTACATACAGTGGGAGACCTTCAAGACCGTTTTCTTGGGAAACTACTTTCCCCGGGACCTGAAAAAGCAGAAAGTCAGGGAGTTCCTTGAGCTAAGACAGGGGAGTATGACCGTGGGGGAGTATGCGGCAAAGTTTCAAGAGTTAATGAAGTATTGGCCCCACTACCAGCACGGGGATGGAGATGAAGACCTGTTTTCTCTATTTGAGCACGGGCTGAGGCCGGACATCAGAGCTGCAGTCAGTGTATTCCAACTGACAGACTTACCCACCTTGGTGAGTAAGAGCAGAATTTTCGAGGCCAACTGAGAGGGTAAAACTGTGGACACTAGGGGGAGTGGTCCAATGAGGCATGATAGAAGACCCCCTAGATTTTTGAAGGGACTGTATTCAGGCTCAAGCAAGTCTTACTTTAGAGGAAGTTCATCCCAAGAGAAGAGTAGCAGTGGGAGTGGTTCTGGCACTAGCTCATTCAGAGGGCCGATGAAGTATTTCCGGTGTGGAGGGCCACACATGCTGAGGGATTGTCCGCATCCAAGGACGAACTGTGGGAATTGTGGGAAGCTGGGGCATACCGCCAATGTGTGCTGGTCTCCAAAGAAGAGTGGCAGTACAAGCTCAGCTCAGAGACCTGAATCCAGAGGGAGTACTGGGCCGAGCACTGGCCGAAGCATTAAGGGCAGAGGCATCACAGTCAGAGGAGCTGATTCAAGGTAAATGTGTCATTAAGGGCAGACTACTCGATGTATTGTTTGACTTGGGGTGCTACGCATTCCTTTATTTCTGCGGATTGTGTGAAGAGTCTAGATTTGTATGTGACTGAATTGTCGTGTAACGTCATGGTGACTACCCCTATGGGTAAGCCGGTTGTGACGTCGTGGGTATGCTTAGGATGTGCAATCATGGTACATGGTAGGGAGTTTGAGGTAGACTTGATTTGTTTGCCTCTTTCTCAGTTAGATGTAATTTTGGGGATAGATTGGCTAGCCATCAACCATGTGTCATTGGACTGTAGAGAAAAGACATTGATCTTTGGTGCATCAATGTCAGAAGTTCCGAGACTTTTGAGCCATGGAGCATGGGAAAATACAGTGGAAGCTAAGGCCTTTATGGTCATGTTTTCAATGGAGGCCGAAAGTGCAATGGAACCAGAGTGTATACCGGTAGTGAAAGAGTTCCTGGAAGTGTTTCTAGAAGATGTTTCTGAGCTACCGCCTGAAAAAGAGATAGAGTTTGCTATTGATGTCATTCCGGGAGCAAGTCCGATTTCTGTGGCACCTTATAGGATGTCACTAGTGGAGTTGGCAGAGGTCAAGAAGCAAGTGGAGGACTTATTACGAAGAGGTTTGTGCTACCAAATGTGTCACCATGGGGAGCGCCAATATTATTAGTAAAGAAGAAGGACGGAAGTATAAGAATGTGTGTGGACTACCGGCAACTAAACAAGGTCACAATTAAGAACAAGTACCCACTGCCGAGGATTGATGATTTGATGGACCAGTTGAGGGGAGCTGCAGTGTTCTTGAAGATTGACTTGAGATCGAGATACCATCAGATTCAAGTGAAGGATAAGGATGTTCCTAAGACGGTGTTCAGGACGCGGTATGGTCACTATGAGTACTTGGTGATGCCGTTTGGAGTGACTAATGCGCCAGCGGTGTTCATGGACTACATGAACAGAATATTCCATGAGTTTTTGGATAAATTTGTGGTGGTATTCATCGACGACATCCTAATTTATTCTAAGACTCAGGAAGAGCATGCTGAACACCTAAGGACTGTTTTGCAAATTCTGAAGGAAAGACAGTTGTACGCAATGTTTTCCAAGTGTGAGTTTTGGTTAACAGAGATTCAGTTTTTGGGGCATGTAGTGTCAAAGGAAGGAATAAGAGTGGACCCTGCAAAGGTGGAAGCAGTAGTCGACTGGCCGAGACTGACGAATGTAACTGAGGTTTGTAGTTTTCTGGGGTTGGCAGGCTATTACAGAAAGTTTATTGAGGGGTTTTCTAAGATAGCTCTGCCCCTAACGAAGCTGACCCGCAAAGGGAAGGAGTTTAAATGGACCAAGGGGTGTGAGGCTAGCTTCTTGGAGCTGAAAATAAGGTTGACTTCAGCACCAGTGTTAGTTCTACCTGACCCGGAGTGGAAGTTTGATGTGTATTGTGATGCATCCGGGCATGGACTTGGGTGTGTCTTGATGCAGGATGGGCGAGTTGTTGTCTATGTCTCAAGACAGTTACGTCTGCACGAAGTCAACTATCTGACTCATGACTTGGAGTTAGCTGCAGTGGTGTTTACCCTCAAGGTGTGGAGACATTACCTCTATGGAGCGAGGTTCGAGGTGTTCAGTGACCACAAGAGCCTGAAGTATATGTTTGATCAGAGGGAATTGAACATGAGGCAAAGGAGGTGGATGGAATTTCTCAAGGACTACGACTTCACGTTGTCTTACCATCCCGGCAAGGCAAATGTGGTGGCTGATGCTTTGAGTAGAAAATCACTGCACGTGGTAGCGATGATGGTGAAGGAGATGGAGTTGATTGAGAAATTTCAGGATATGAATCTGGCTATAGAAGTGAGACCAAGGAGCTTGTATCTCGGGACGACGATGATTCATAATGACCTTCTAGTGTACGTCCAGGAAGCTCAGCAGGGAGATGTTTTCCTGCAAAACGTGATGAGGCAAAAGTGTGAAGGTAAAAACTTGGAGTTCCACTGTGATGAAAACGTAGTGATTAAGTTTTGAAACCGAGTGTGTATTCTCCAAGTGGACGAACTAAAGCAAATGATACTTGAGGAGGCACATAAGAGCAAGATGAGCTTTCACCCTGGTGCGACAAAAATGTATCAGAACCTCCAGAAGAGTTTTTGGTGGAATGGAATGAAGAGAGACGTGGCTGAATACGTAGTTAAATGTTTAACTTGCCAGAAAGTGAAGGTAGAACACCAGCGTCCACCTGGATTGATGCAACCATTGGAGATCCCTGAGTGGAAATGGGATAGCATTTCTATGGACTTTGTTTCTGGATTGCCGAGGACCAGAAACAACCATGATGCCATTTGGGTGGTAGTGGACCGGTTGACTAAGGCCGCGCACTTTCTTCCAATCAATATGAAGTACAAATTGGAACGACTTGCAGAATTGTATGTGAGGGAGAGAGTCAGGCTGCATGGAGTGCCGACTAGTGTAGTGTCGGATAGAGACTCGAGGTTTACCTCAAGATTTTGGGAGAGCCTACAGAGGGCGTTGGGCATTAAGTTGAAGCTCAGTTCAGCGTATCATCCGCAAACTGACGGCCAAACCGAGCAGACTATCCAGTCTCTAGAAGATTTGCTGAGAGCTTGTGTGCTCGAACAACAAGGGACTTAGGAGGAATGTTTACCATTAGTGGAGTTCACGTATAATAATAGTTATCACGCCAGTATTGGGATGACACCATCCGAGGCTTTGTATGGGCGAAGGTGCAGAACTCTATTATGTTGGTATGAGGACGGAGAGGCTATTCTATGTGCACCAGATATGATCCAGAAATAGAACGAACAGATCAAAATGATCAAAGAGAAAATGAAGGCTGCACAAGATAGGCAAGAGAGCTACTACGGTAAGAGGAGGAAACCCTTGGAGTTCCATGTGGGTGACCACGTATTTTTGAAGGTCTCACTTGTGACAGGAGTTGGGAGAGCTCTGAAATCTCGGAAGCTATCTCCTAAATTCATTGGGCCATTCGAAGTGCTGAGTAGGATTGGTCCTACAGCGTACCAGATAGCATTGCCTCCGAACCTCTCAAATCTACATCCGGTGTTCCATGTGTCACAACTCAGGCAATATGTGCCAGATCCTTCTCGTGTGATTAATCCTGACCCGATTCAAGTGAGAGAGGATTTGTCGTATAAGCTGTACCCAGTGAGGATTGCATATCATCGTATTAAGCAACTGAGGGGCAAAGAGATCTCATTGGTAAAGGTGATATGGAACTCAAGCGACGAAGGAGATGCCACATGCGAGACGAAGAGCCGGATGAGAAAGTTATATCCACTCTTGTTTATGTAGTTTGGTTGAATTTCGGGGACAAAATTCCTTAAAGGAGGGGAGAGTTGTAACGCCCCGAGTTTTGTATTATTAATTAATCGTGTATTTATATATATATATATATATATATATTGATATTTTTATTTTGTGGTGTGTTGATTGATTTTGATGGTGATATGGATGTAAGGATGTGCCTTAGTTTAATGGGAATGTGTGTGTGAATGCAGATATATGTAAATGTATGTAGACGCGTGTGTGTGATTGGAATTTGGAATGGAAGATATAGGTTAAGTCCTGGTGCAGGGCATTCTCGCTGTAGCGAGAGGTCCCTGGGAGGAAGGCATGTAATTGTTGCCTTCTCGCTGTAGCGAGAAACGTCTCGCTGTAGCGACAGAGCAACAGTTTAGGGTGCATTTCTGTGTGCAATCTCACTGTAGCGAGATTCTGCAGAAATCAGAGTGCAATTTTCTCTGTTTTTTTTTTTGCTGTAGCGAGAGGGCATGTCGTTGTAGCGAGAGTAACGCGACCAGAGGGGTATTTGAAGGGTTAGAGTTTGAGGAGAGGGTTATTTTTCATGATTTCTCTCTCTCTCCTTCACGATTCTCTCCACCCAGCCTATTCCGACCGTTTGGGACCCCTCCAAGACCGATTGGAAGCTAGATTAAGGATTGGGGAAGTGTTTGGAGCTCTTGGAGGTAAGTTCTATGGTTAGGGTTTCGGTTTTCGTCCCTCTCCTTCATTTTCTGAGGTTTCCCCTAAGTTTCCTTGGGATTTTTGTGTGCTTTAGGGACAAAATTCGTGTGGAGAGGCGATTCCATCAACGTTTCGTGTCGGGTCTTCGTTTTTGAGGTAAGGGGAATACTTTACTCTAGTTATCTTTGTTAGGAATGAGTTTATTTGAATGAATATAGTAATGTGATAGAAATAGGAGATGAGGTTATGTGTATTGATGAATTGTACGAATTGGGTTGAGTCCAGAGGTGTCCAACCTCCGGCATATTGTGTGAAATTGAGTGCTATGCTTGTGTTGGTCGCCATTGGATGCAAGGAAATGATGTGTGTATGATAGAAATGTGATTGTGAATAAGTTTAGCATGATGTATGACGATTGTGATGAAATAGTTGGTTGTAATATGAATGAAATTGTGTCGACATGCCCTTGATTGCAATTTGAATAATGTGAATGGTTGAAAATGAGTGTCGATGACATGTTGAATGAATGATGATGTGTTTGGGTGTTGGAACTATGAATGGTTCAGAGATACACTAGAGGTGTGGAAGATGGGGGCGGTAGTAATACCTTGGGGAAGAGAGGGTGGTGGTGACACCAACAGTAAGCGTGGGTGTACCATAGGCCACACACTCTCCTTCTGACTTGGCGTCTGACTAACACCTTTGCCTGGGGGGCTCAAGACCGAACATGTTATATCCGTGGAGCGAGAGCTATTTGGGCGACCATCTATAGCATAACTGAGTAAGTCCCTGAGGTTGAGGGCATCAGGAATCTGTGATCACAGTGCCATAAGGAGCGTGGCTACGTGCAGTGAGTGCACGTGTGTTTGTGTAAATGCATGTATTTGTAATTGGTTGTCAGTGCAGTGAGCGCACCTGCCTGTGATATTTTTGTGTGTGTGTGCCTGTGGAACATGGGGGCGGTAGTAATACCTTGGGGAAGAGAGGGTGGTGGTGACACCAACAGTAAGCGTGGGTGTACCATAGGCCACACACTCTCCTTCTGACTTGGCGTCTGACTAACACCTTTGCCTGGGGGGCTCAAGACCGAACATGTTATATCCGTGGAGCAAGAGCTATTCGGGCGACCATCTATAGCATAACTGAGTAAGTCCCTTTCTGGTCGCGACACTCTCGCTACAACGAAAAATTCTCGCTGCAACGACACCCTCTCTCGCTACAGCGAAAATCTCAGAAGGAATTGCTTTCTGATTTTTGCAAAATCTCACTACAGCGAGAATGTACTCAGAAATGCACCATAAACTGTCGCTTTGTCGCTACAGTAAGGGACTTCTCGCTGTAGCGAGAAGGCGACAGTTTCACGCCTTCCTCCTAGGGCCTTATCGCTATAGTAAGAATGCCCCAGTAATACAACCTTAATCTATTTTTCAACCCAATCCAATCATATACAATATAGTTATACGCATATATAAGCATTTATATACACCAGCATTTAAAGTTCATCGCTCAAGTGCAACTCCAATATCCATTCACATCATACATATATATATATATATATATATATATATATATATATCATTCGACCATGAATGAATTGTTTTAGAAAAAAAAAAGCATCGTCCATGTGGAGAATAGCTGGTTAAGGTCACAGATACCACTCTAAACTAA